CTAGGGTTCGGCAGAAGTGCACCAACCTAATGTGGAGCACCCACAGAGACATCTCTCAAAGAAGTAGTAGTACACTTATACAACACTAAATCCTGATTCCTTTTTTTGTTGAAATACTGTAGCCTGATTTATTAAACTTTTATTAAACTCATTTAACTATTTCCGGAATTGAAATGGAATTTCTTTAAAGTTTTTATGTATGAAATAAATCAAAAATATAAAACCAACTTCTCTTTAGTGTAGATATTAGCTATTCTGCATGTTTTTGTCAGGAAAAAAATGAAGCATCATAGTTTGCCTTTTATAATGTGCATAAGATGTTGAGTAGATTCTTCTCTAATTTTTACATATGAAGTATGTCAGATACATTAACCATAGCTCCTAATATGAAAGAGTAGACATTGTATATACACCACTTTTCACTCCAAACACAAAAATACAAGATTGTACAAAATAAGTATTTTACCTTTTTAGCAGTTTCAAATTCTAGACCTTCTAAGGCCTCCATAGCCAGCTCTTTCCAGTCAGTGTCAGTTACTCCTAAACAAGCAATCTGATAGGCTTCTTTGAACATTTTCCGTTCCAGATATTGATACATAGGTGCAGACTGAGGATTTCCGTAGAGAAATATTTGTCAAAAGCAAAATATTAAGATTAGTGAACATATTTAGTGAATAAATCTGCTCATTTTCCAACCCCAACTGTTACAAACCCACTATGTACCCAATCTATTTTTCTGTATTATAAATAAGAAAGTGTTCAAGATAGAACAATAGTTATAAACATAATACAGTAATTTACTCTGTGAATTAACTAAGTACAATCCAGAACAGCGGGGAAGAGGATAACTGAACTCCAAACCTTTTTGTCCTGAGAGCACTGCTTGCTAGGATCTGAGATCCTATAATTCGGTACAAGCATTCATGTAGTGCATTCTTTACTTATCCACAACGCTAAATGATGCCAACAGTAGTTCTAGGCATGTAAGAAGTGCAGAATCATGTCAAGGGCCTGCACTGATTCCCCCGTTCCCCCCTTTTGTTTGTTTGGTTTTGATGTTCATTTTTAAGCCATTGTCAAGTAGAAAAAAAACATCTAGTGCAGGGGTTCCCAAACTTTTTGACACGGGGACCAGTAAATCCATTCACGAACTTTTGGAGGACCAGTAATATTCATTTGCATATTCATTAATCAAATGATGAATATTCAAATAAGTTGTTTCTGGTCCTCCCAAATCTCCCAGTGCCAGCTTTAGCAAAGCTTTTGATATGGTCACCCACAATATTCTTGCCAGCAAGTTAAGGAATATGGATTGGATAAATGGGCTGTAAGACAAACAGAAAGCTGGTTAGAACCAGGGTTTCCCAAACTTTTTACTTTAATTGGAACCCTTTTTTTTCAGTTCTGCTTTTTGCAGCCCAAAAATATAAACACATGAAAAACAAACTGAGAAAATACCAGACATATAACATGTCTGGTATTTTCTCAGTAGGTAAAGTTAAGGAATATGGATTGGATAAATGGGCTGTAAGACAAACAGAAAGCTGGTTAGAACCAGGGTTTCCCAAACTTTTTACTTTAATTGGAACCCTTTTTTTTCAGTTCTGCTTTTTGCAGCCCAAAAATATAAACACATGAAAAACAAACTGAGAAAATACCAGACATATAACATGTCTGGTATTTTCTCAGTAGGTAAGTTGTATTATTACTAGATGTATCAGTTTGTAGTTTCGAACTGCCTGGCTGGTAAATGTGCTCAGGCTGCATGAGTGTGTCTACCAGCCAGACAGTTCGCAACTACT